CTTTGAGCCGTCCCTGGATAGGAGTAAAGGGCAGACCTCGAGCCATCCATGGACAAGGGTAAAGGGCAGATCTCGAGAAATCCATAGACAGGGGTAAAGGGTGAAACTGGAGCTGTCTATTGACAGGAGTAAAGGGTGGACCTCGAGCCATCCATGGACAGGGGTAAAGGTTGGACCTCGAACCATCTACGGACAAGGTTAAAGAGTGGATTTTGAGCCATCCATGGACAGGGGTAAGGAATGGACCTTGAGCCTTCCATGTACAGGGGTAAAGGGTAAATCTCAAGTCATCCATGCACAGGGGTAAAGGGTGGACCTTGAGTCATCCATGGATAGGAGAAAAGGGTGGCTCTTGAGTCATACCTGGACAGGGGTAAAGGGTGAACCTCAATCCATCTATGAACAGGAGTAATGGGCGGACCTCAAGCCATCCACGGGCATGGGGTAAAGGGTAGATCTCGATCCATCCATGGACATAGGTAAAGGGTGGACCTTGAGCAGTCTATGGATAGGAGTAAAGGGTGGATCTCGAGCCTTCCCTGGACGGGGTAAAGGGTGGACCTCGAGCCATCCCTGGACAGGGGTAAAGGTTTGACCTTTAGCCATCCCTTGACAAGAGTAAAAGGTGGACCCTAAGCCATCCATGTGCATAGGTAAAGAGTGGACCTCAAGCCATCCATGAACAGGGGTAAAGGGAGCACCTTGAGCCATCCCTGGAAAGGAGTAAAGGGTGAACCTCGAGCTATCCATTTACAGGGGTAAAGGGTAGACCTCGAGCCATCTATGGACAGGGGTAAAGAGTGGACCTCGAGCCATACATGGACAGGGGTAAAGGCTGGACCTCGAGCCATCCATGGACAGGGGTAAAGGGTGGACCTCAAGAAATCCATGGACAGGGGTAAAGGCTGGACCTTGAGCCATCCATGGACAGGGGCAAAGGGTAGATCTCGAGCCATCCATGGACAGGGATAAAGGTAGATCTCGAGCCATCCATGGACAGGGGTAAAGGGTTAAATCCCGAGCCATCTATGGACAAGGGTAAATGGTGACCCTCAAGCCATCCATGGACAGGGGTAAAGGGTGACCCTCGAGCCATACATGGACAGGGGTAAAGGGTGACCATCGAGCCATCCATGGACAGGGGTAAAGGGTGGACCTTGAGCCACCTATGAATAGGAGTAAAGGGTGGATCTCGAGTCATCCCTGGACAGGGGTAAAGAGTTAAACCCCGAGCCATCCATGGACAAGGGTAAAGGGTGGAGACCTCGAGTCATCCATGGACAGGGGTAAAGGGTGACCCTCGAGCCATGCATGGACAGGAGTAAAGGGTGGCCCTTGAGCCATCCGTGGACAGGGGTAAAGGCTGGACCTTGAGCCATCCATGGACAGGGGTAAAGGGTGGCCCTCAAGCCATTCATGGACAGGGGTAAAGGCTGGACCTTGAGCCATCCATGGACAGGGGTAAAGGGTGGACCTTGCGCCATCCATGGACATAGGTAAAGGGTGGACCTTGAGCTGTCTGTGGACAGGAGTAAAGAGTGGATCTCATGTCATCCATGGACAGAAGTAAATGTGCAAAATATAGTAAACATTGAGTATCTTTATTGTGGAAAGTGCCATACAATGACTACAAGAGAGGGCTGCATGACGGCTTGCACCCATTGCAGTGCATAATGCCATTTGTAGCAATGTTTGCTAAGTATAGGTTAGTATAGATGTATCGTGTTCTCAGCTGTGATCACTTCCAGGTTCACAGGACTCTAATAGACCCTTGATGTCTCCATAAAGAGAACCTGTCACATCTAGTCCACCATCATGTGGGCCATATGCTTGTCCTCTTGTGTAATAAAATTTAGTAACTTAAAATAAAAACCATTAGATACATTAAGACCTCTCCCCCTGCCACTCACACAAACACGCACACACGTGTAGGATGAACATACAGATGGAAAGGCCTGTGTTGTTCTTTAGTAAGTAAATATGAGAGAAGAGACTTGGAACTGATAGGGACCGAGTTCAGAGATTAGGGTTGGGCTGTGCATTCAGTTTTCTTTCCTTATTTCTGTACGATGATAACTGATTGGCTGCTACAGATATCTGTTATTCCTGATCTGCTGCTTTCGGTCAATGTGTCATATTCTGATGTCACATCAGGCCTTGTTGTCTCTCATATAGAATCAGTCTACCAGCTCACCCTTCATATGGCAATATTCATGATATTGTTCTAGCTGCTGGCTGGAAAAGAGTAAATGCCAGAGCCAGTTTTCTGCCTAAAGCTGACCATACATGGATCGAATGTTGGCTGACACCTGCCCAAATTTTGTTCCATGGGTGGCCCCTGTCAGCACCACCCAGCTCCACAAAAGTCGGGTCGGGCAGAAAATTTGCAGTCACTGCTGGGTATTCTGACAGCCACGGGTGCAGGATCTATTCAGAATACTCTTAGAAGGCCAAATTTATATTCAATTTCAGCAGCAATGGTAAGAAAAAATTTCAAGGGGCAGGACGGAACTTTTTTCTCTAGTGAACGCATTTTTAACATTGAACGTATGTGGTTTTCATTGGGTGAAGCTCACCCATTCCAAAATCAAATGGTAAAAGAAAATTTAATTTTGAAGTACTTTCAAAATGACATTCAAAAAGCTGTCAAATGTACAAAGAATTTTCATCTAAATATTTGTACGAACATTTGTTCAAAAATCTATTAGTGTATGGCCAGCTTTTGCCTCACACTTCTCACTTCTCATTGTGCTGGGCAGCTTGGTCTGTTATAGGACACTGAAAAAAAACAGACTTACTGGCAGGATCACTGGGTGAAAAAAAAGGAAAAAAAATCCTAACAAAAGAAAACAAATGCAGCCATCACATCCAAGAAATGGGAAGCTGGCATATAGGACATTTTGTGTTTTTGGGTTTCCTGGTGTGTCTGGGCAGCAATAGTCATTTCTCCACATATTAGAGCCTGGTGTCAGGAATACAATCTTTCAGTGAGTTTTAAAAGTGAATGTTTAGAATACTCAGAAAAGAAAGAAAAATCGTTTTACCAAACAATCAATCTGTTTTGTGGGCAGGAAACAGCAATTTTTTTTTTTTGTGACGGCAAAGAATTTTGTTTGTGAATTGATGTGCTGATATGTGATCAGAACACAATACGATGGAAGTACGGAGAGCCCCCCATACATGATACTATTGGGGGGACGTATTCCCTGCACTGATAGAAGACCGTCATTTATTACTCCAAAATACTGGAATATATTATAAAATACTCATCAATTCTCCCTGCCGTGTCTCAGACCTTCAACTTCTCTTCTTCAACTACCAAGATTCCATTATCCTGCTGCTTTCTATTCCGCCGCGTATATTATTCTACGCTAAAAGAACTGGAAATGGTGAAAGGCGGCACAGTCAACTGATAAATGTTCATTAACACGAAATATCGTGTTCAGAAAATTCCTCCGTCTTCTTCAATGACGTCACAAAGTTTTTTTTCTGCTCTGTGACAAAAATCCTTTGAATCTCATCTATGTGCAGAAATAACAAGTGTTGTGGATCCAGGAAATCACCACAAAGACTAGAAAAAAAGATGGTGTGACTCCTGGACAAGAAAGGTAAACATCATATAAAAGAGGACCTGTCACCTCAAATCAGGACCCCCAAATCCTCCTATCTATTCTTACCAGGATAAATATATATTCCATCAATCAGGACCCCCCCCAATCCACCGTATTGTATGTATTCTTCCAGGGATAAGTGCACCGTATTGCCAAAAGTATTGGGCCACCTGCCTTTCCATGCACATGACCTTTAATGGCCCCCCAGTCTTAGTCCGAAGGGTTCAATATTGAGTTGGCCCCGCCCTTTCCACGCACATGACCTTTAATGGCCCCCCAGTCTTAGTCCGTAGGGTTCAATATTGAGTTGGCCCCGCCCTTTCCACGCACATGACCTTTAATGGCCCCCCAGTCTTAGTCCATAGGGTTCAATATTGAGTTGGCCCCGCCCTTTCCACGCACATGACCTTTAATGGCCCCCCAGTCTTAGTCCATAGGGTTCAATATTGAGTTGGCCCCCCTCCCTTTCCCCCGCACATGACCTTTAATGGCCCCTCCCAGTCTTAGTCCGTAGGGTTCATTATTGAGTTGGCCCCGCCCTTTGCAGCTATAACAGCTTCAACTCTTCTGGGAAGGCCGTCCACAAGGTTTAGGAGGGTGTCTATGGGAAGGTTGGACCATTCTTCCAGAAGCACATTTGTCAGGTCAGGCACTGATGTCGGGGGAGGAGGCACTGATGTCGGGGGAGGAGGCACTGATGTCGGGGGAGGAGGCCTGGCTCGCAGTCTCCGCTCTGATTCATCCCAAAGGTGTTCTATGGGGTTGAGGTCAGGACTCTGTGCAGGACAGTCAAGTTCCTCCACCCCAAACTGGCTCCTCCATGTCTTTATGGACCTTGCTTTGTGCACTGGTGCGCAGTCATGTTGGAACAGGAAGGGGACATCCCCAAACTCTTCCCACAAAGTGGGGGCATGAAATTGTCCAAAATGTCGCCTTAAGAGTTCCCTTCACTGGAACTAAGGGGCCAAGTCCACCCCCTGAGGAACACCCCTCCACCAATCTTTACAATTGGCACAATGCAGTCAGGCAAGTACCGTTCTCCTGGCCACCACCTAACCCAAACACGTCCATTGGATTGCCAGAGAAGCGTGATTGGTCACTCCAGAGAATACATCTGTATGGCTCTAGAGTCCAGTGGCGGCGTGCTTTACACCACGGCATCCAACGTTTTGCATTGCACTTGGTGATGGAAGGCTTGGATGCAGCTGCTCGGCCATGGAAACCCATTCCATGAAGCTCTCTACGCACTGTTGTTGGGCTCATCTGAAGGTCACACCAAGTTTGGAGGTCTTTAGCGATTGACTCTGCAGACAGTTGGCGACTTCTGCGCACTGTGCGCTTCAGCATGCACTGACCCCGCCCTGTCATGTGACGTGGCCTACCACTTGGTGGCTGAGTAGCTGTTGTTCCCAGTGGCATCCACTTTGTTATAATTCCACTAACGGTTGAGCGTGGAATATTTAGTAGCCAGGAAATGTCACGGATGGACTTATTGCCCAGGTGGCCACCTATCACGGGACCACGCTTGGAGTCACTGAGCTCCTGAGAGCGACCCATTCTTTCACCAATGTTTGTAGAAGCCGTCTGCATGCCTAGGGGCGTGATTGTATACACCTGTGTCCATGGAGGGGATTGGGACACCTGAATCACATGATATGGGGGGGATTGGAGCACCTGAATCACATGATTGCCAGGGGATTGGAACACCTGAATCACATGATATGGAGGGGATTGGAACACCTGAATCACATGATATGGAGCGGATTGGAACACCTGAATCGCATGATATGGAGGGGATTGGAACACCTGAATCACATGATATGGAGGGGATTGGAACACCTGAATCACATGATTGCGATGGCTGGCCCAATGCTTTTGACAATATAGTGTATATATTCCCTCCCCCCCAACCGTCTGTATACCTTGTATGTATTCTTCCCAGGATAAATATCTATTCCCTCAGTCAGGGCCCAATCATGATATTACAGCTCAGCATACTGCTACAGGTATACTGGCACTGGTATGCTGGTACTGGTACTTGTTTACTGGTACACTGGCACCGGTACACTAGTACTGGTATATTAATATTGGCATACTGGTACTGCTGTACAGGTACAGTGATACTGGTATGCTGGCACTTGTACTTGTGTACTGGTACACTGGTATTGGTATACTGGTACTCTGGTACTGACATACTGGTACACTGGTACACTGATTCAGGTACTGGTGCAGTGGTAGTGGTATTCTGGTACTGACATACTGGTATTGGTACACTGGTACTGGTACTGTTATATTGGTACTGACATACTGCTACACTGGTACACTGATAATGGTGCACTGGAACTAGTATACTGGAAATGGTATACTGGAACTGGTACACTGGTTCTGGTACTGGTACAGTGATACTGGTTTACTGGAGCTGTTACACCTTTACTGGTATACTGGTACAGGAACACTGGTAATGGTATTCTGGTACTGGCATGCTGGTCCTGTTCTTCTGGTATGAGTACAGTACTGGTATGCTGGCACTGGTACTTGTCTACTGGTACACTAGTACTGGCATACTGGTACTGGTACTGGTACACTGGTATTTGTAGACTGGAACAGGTACACTGATACTGAGGTACTGGTAGTGACATACTGGTACTGGTACACTGGGTACTGGTACTGGCATACTAGATCTAGTACACTACTGGTATACCAGTACTGGTACAGTGGTACTCATGTACTGGTACACTGGTTCTGGTATACTGGAACTGATATACTAGTACTGGGATACTGATACACTGGTAATGGTATTCTGATACTGGTGTACTGGAATTGGTACATTGATACTGGTTTACTGGAACTGTTACACCGGTACGGTACTGGTACTGGTATAATGGAACTGGTGGTACTGGTATAATGGAAGTGGTATCCTGGTTCTGGTATACTGGTACTGATACACTGGTACTGGTACACTGATACTGGAACTGTTACACAGGTAATGGTATACTGGAACTGGTGGTACTGGTATAATGGAAGTGGTTCCGGTTTACTGGGTACACTTGGCATATTGCACACTGGTATACTGGAACTGGCAACTGGTATTGGCATACACTGGTTGGCACTGGTACATACTGGTATACTGGTTCTCCTACACTGGCACTGGTAGGCTGATACTGGCATACTGGAACCGTGACACTGTCACTGGTATTCTGGAACTGGTACTGGTTTACTGCTACTGGCATATTGGTCCTGGTACACTAATATACTGGTACTGACTGAGCACTGGGCAGTTCTGCAGCTGGAGTGGACCATGGTCTCTACTTCAGGAAATCCCACCAGCACTACTACTGATCATTAGCACATTAGGTGGTTAAGATGATGAACTGGCTCAGTGTGATCTAGAAAAGACAAAGGGGGTGCGATGATGATAATGAAAGGGACAATCGGTACCAACTTCTCACCCAGAGGAACAGAACAGAATTCCATAGTTGTTCAGCTCTGGATCCGGTCATTCGGAGAGTTCATTGAGCAGACAACTGACTGACCAATCCCCTCCGTGATATTCTGCATATAATACATGGTCCTGGGGAAGAGCTGAACCATCGCCCTCCTCTGCTCTCAGGGAGCCTTCTGGGGTGGGATTCTATGGGGTGGGTAGAGTATGAAGTACTTGCATGTTTCCAGAGTGACAACCTTAGCACAATATTAAAGTGTCTTTTTACCTTAATTCATTCTCTGTACTCTCTGCATTAAGTGAACAAACCTTTTGTGTCCAGGATCCCCCTCCCCCAGCCCCCCTATACTGACATTAGCCCAATCTTGATGCAACGCTGTTATAAGAGCAGCTGTTCTCTCCTTCCTCACAGGGCAGACTGACAGCAGTGGGAGCCCTTGGCTCCTGCTGTTGTCAATCAAATCCTATGATGAGCGAGCAAAGCCCCGCTATCTGTGTCAATGGATGCAGGCAGTGGGCCTGAAGAGCAAGCCTGCATGAGTACCCTCCTTAGCAAGCGGCTTGCTAGGGGGGGTACTCCGAAGTGGGAGGAGCTAGGAGTGCTGGCAAGGGAACCCAGAAGAGGATTGGGGCTCGGGGATCAGGTTGGAGGTTTATTATCACATTAAATTCAAGGTACAGCAATATGATCGCCACCCCTGCAGACCTCTGCCGGCACCCCCAAAGCCTGTCTGACTTACTCCCTTAATATTCGCCTAATAGCTCCTGGGACACAGCAGAGCTTGTGTAGCCCCTGCTAGGTAGGTTGCTAGGATATAGTTACATATAGTTAGTCTGGCTGAAAAAACACAAAAGTCCATCCAGTTCAACCATTAAAACAAAAAAAATGTAAATCCTATACCCACAGTTGATCTAGAGGAAGGCAAAAAAACCCAGCAAAGCACGATTCAATTTGCTCCTGCTGTGAAAAAATTCCTTCCTGATCCCCCGAAACGCAATCGGATATTCCTTGGCATAAATGTAGTTCTTTTGGCTCCTCTGAAATAAATGGAGCAGCTATCGATTCCTTTGGACTGTTCTAGATTTCATTGGCTGCAGGCTTGACTGCTCTCCCCTGCATTCTGGAGGCTTCCAGAAGATAGATAGGCAAATGGGAAGCTTGAATGTGTGCTGCCGCCCATTCCTAGGGAGGCAAGCCCAGTAGGTGGCTGGATAGAGTATAAATAGTCTGGGGTCTGGAGCAGCCCTTGTTCTTGTCCTGTTGAAATTCTACAGCTTCAGGGGCTCTGCCCATCTGAGTCAGTTTTTGGTGGAGTTTGCTGATGTTCATTGAGGTTCCATCTGTGGCAGAGTGGGGGGGGGGGGACTATTCCTACTCAACTTTAGAGCTAACTAAACACCCTCTCCTAAGGATCTGGTCTGAAGGACTCACTGAAGAGTGCTGGGTCCAAGCTTGAAAATGTGTAGCTGTACTGTGGCATTGTATTAACTGCTCCCTCACTGAGTGTCTGGTGGAAGTTGGGAACTGTGCAGTTGTCCTGAGACATAGAGATACGTGTTAGAAACTGGAAAAGTTCAGCTGTCCTGGAGAGACATTGTGAGTACGGCCCTGAGCATAGGATTCTAGTGACTGTGTCTTGTTCTACTTTTGGGGTGCCATCGGCAGCTGTCTCTAAACAGTTCTCATTGGGTCTCAGATATTGACCGTTCCCCTGTCCTCAGCAGGATTCTGGACTATGAGCTTTGTGAAGAGTGCTTTCCTGTACTGTGCATTGTTCTGGGGTTGTACTGGTTACCTACAACTGTACAATGGTCCTCAGCTGTGAGGCTTTAAGACTGTTCAGAAGGATACCTTATGGCCCTCAGCTGTGAGGGATTAGATTGTCTTGTCATTGATGTTACTAGCCATTACGGAGTATCCCATACCACCCAAACCTCTCTCCTGTTACAAGTTCTACAAGCAAATAAACTTCAAAAAGACATCCCCGAGACTGTTTAATGGAGCCAGAGTGAATGGACTTTTGCCTATGGAATCGGTGGCTTCTGTACTGCTTGGGCAAGAATCAGTTAAAAAATTAGGAATTTACTTGGACGCTCACTTTCAGTGTATTCACATTAAAGCACAGCCAAGAATACTTCCACAAGAGACAAAGAGTGGATGTCCCCTCATGCAGAACGCGAACATCGCCTCAGAAACAGCCAAGGCCACCATCCCAAAGCTGAGGCTGTCCAATTGGGCCATCCCCAGGGAAACTGCTCAAACTGTACAAAGAGAAGATGGCTAAACTAGAATGCCCCAATGTCAGGGGTCAAACAGTGAAGCAGCAAAGAGGAACACCCCATCCAAGAGCTGAAGATGTGGTGGAAGACTGTCCAGTTGTGCATGGATGCTTTAACGTGTCTCTTAGATACAGCTTACAAGTCAAGTCACCATACTGCCAGAACCAGAGTTTGAGCAATGCTTCCCTAACAAGAACATGAACCTGGACACACCTCGGCTCTCACTGTCAGCCACCAGTGAGCTCCTTATGGAATTTGCTGGGGTGACCTAGATGAAAGTGGAGCTATGGAGGCATATGACGATATTGGCACGGCTGTCATTAAGGAACCAAGGGCTGAGATGCTGATAGGATGTCATGTGCAATTGTGCACACCCCAATAAATCAGACAATTGCTACATGCTGTGGAAGCACTGGGAGAGTATACCTGGGTGAAGATACTAAGAGAGGACCTGGTGTTTGCCCACTTAAAGCATAGGCCCAATCCCAGACAGAGATCAAAGCTATTAGCAGGAACCAAGGAACTGTTGAGGGAATGGTCCCATCTCATCCTGAGTAGTAGTATAATGAATTGCATAATATTGTCCCCCCATAACCCTCTCGGTGGCAGAAAAAATCCAGGTGAAAGCAGTGCACTGGATGTTCACAAAACATTCATCTAGTTCAAGAGACAAGCCGTACATGTGGGACTTTTTAGTTAACTGCACCAATCTGCCAAAACTGCATGGCGTATCCAGTCTAGAAGGGGGCTGAGACCAGGATTCCATCCAATTTGCTCCTGCAGGGGAAAAATTCCATCCTGATCCCCCCGAGAGGCAATCGGATATTCCCTGGATCAACTTCACCTATAAATGTTATATCCAGTTATATTCTGTGTATCCAAGAAAGAATCCAGGACTTTCCTACAGCAATCCAATGAGCTGGCCACAACCAACACCTGAGGGAGTCTATTCCACATTCTCACCTCTCTTACTGTGAAGAAACCTTTCCATGTTTGGAGATTAAATTTCTTTTCC